TGGAAAAAAATATATCAAGCAAATAGCCACCAAAAAAGAGCAGGAGTGGCAATACTAATCTCAGATATAATACATTTTAAAACAAAATCCACCATAAAAGACAAAGAAGGGCACTATATCACTATTAAAAGGAAGATACATCATGAAGACCTAACAGTAATAAATATCTACAGAACCAATGACAGGGCTTCAAAATAAATTTAAAAAAAAAACTTTAACAGGGCTAAAAAGAGAAATTGACAGTTCAACTATAATACTAGGAGACTTCAACACACCACTCTCAGTAAAGGACAGAATATCTAGAAAGAAACTCAACAAAGTTACAGAAGATCTAAAGCCCACAATCAGCCAACTTGAACTCATAGACATATATAGAACACTCCACACAACAGCTGTAAAGTACACATTCTTTTCCAATGCACATGGAATGTTCTCCAGAATAGACCACATCTTAGACCACAAAGCAACCTTCAACAAAATCCAAAACATTAAGATGATACAAAGTATCTTCTCTGATTACAATGCCATCGAAGTAGAAATTTACAACAGAAAGAAAAAGGGAAAAAATCAATTACATGGAAACTAAATAACACCCTGCTTAAAAACTAATGGTAATAGAGGAAATCAAAGATGGAATAAAAAAATTCCTAGACTCAAATGAGAATTAAAACACATTATACCAAAATCTTTGGGACATAGCAAAGGCAGTGCTCAGAGGTCAATTTATAGCAATAGATACACACATCAAAAAGAAGAAAGGAATAAAACCAAAACATTAGCTACACAACTCAAACAAACAGAAACAGAACAGCAAAAGACGCCTACAGCCACCAGAAGAAAGGAAATAATAAAGATCAGAGCAGAAATAAATGAAATATAGAATAGAAAAACAATAGAGTCAACAAAACCAAACTTTGGTTCTTTGAAAGGATCAGCAAAATCAACAAACCACTAGCCAGACTGACAAAAGAAAAACAGGATAGGATGCAAAGAACCCAAATAAGAAATTAAATGGGGAACACTACAACAGACCCAACTGAAATAAAAAGGATAACAAATTCTATTCTAACAAATTTCAGAATCTAGAAGAAATGGATAAATTTCTAGAAACACACAACCTACCCAAACTGTCACAAACTGATGTTGAAAATCTGAACAGACCCATAACAAGAGAAGAGACTGAAAAGGCAGTTTAAGAAAAACCCCCAACAAAAAAAAAAACCCTGGCCCAGATGGCTTCACTGGAGAATTCTACCAAACATTAAGAGAAGAGCTTACACCAGTACTTCTCAAACTATTTTAGAACATAGAAAAGGAAGGGATACTTCCAAATTCATTCTATGAAGCCAGCGTAACCCTGATGCCAAAACCAGGCAAAGGAACTACAAAAAAAGAAAATTGCCTACCAGTATCTCTCATGAATATAGGTGCAAAAATTCTCAACAAAATTCTAGCCAATAGAATTCGGTGGCATATAAAAAAAAATAATATACCATGACCAAGTAGGATTCATACCAGGTATGCAAGGATGGTTCAACATCAGAAAATCAATCAACATAATCCACCACATAAATAAAGGAAAAGAATCACGTGATCATCTCAATTGAGGCGGAAAAGGCATTCAACAAAGTCCAACACCCATGATAAAAAAACTGATTAAAAACTCTCAATAAAATAGGTGTAGAAGGGAAATTTCTCAGCATAATAAAGGGCATCTATACAAAACCAACAGCCAACGTCATTCTTAATGGAGACAGGCTGAAAACATTCCCCCTGAGAACAGAAACAAGATAAGGATGCCCTTTATCACCACTCCTATTTAACCTTGTGCTGGAAGTCCTAGCTAAAACAATAAGGCAAAAAAAAAAAGAAATAAAAGGCATCCAGATTGGTAATGAAGAAGTAAAACTCTCCCTATCTGCAGATGATATGATACTATACATAGAAAACCCAAAAGACTCCACAAGAAAACTACTGGAACTAATAGAAAGATTCAGCAGAGTGGCAGGATACAAGATAAACATACAAAAATCAGTTGGATTCCTATGCACCAATTCCTATTCCAATAAAGAGAATGATGAAAAGGAATTCAGGAAAACAATACCATTTATAATAGCCCCTAAAAAAATAAAATACTTAGGAATACATCTAACCAGGAATGTAAAAGACCTATACAAAGACAACTACAGAACACTACTGCAAGAAACCAAGAGATCTACCAAATGGAAAAACATACCATGCTCATGAATAGGTAGCATCAACATTGTGAAAATGACAATTCTACTCAAAGCAATTTACAAATACAATGCAATCCCAATCCAAATACCAACAACATTCTTTAAAGAGATGGAAAAAAAATCATTAACTTTATATGGAAAAGAAAGAAGCCCCGGATAAGTAAAGCACTATTGAAGAAGAAGAATAAAGTAGGAGGACTCGCACTACCTAACCTCAGAAACTACTATACACCTGCGGTAGTCAAAACAGCCTGGAACTGGTACAACAACAGTTACATTGACCAATGGAACAGAATTGAGAAGCCAGATGTAAATCCATCCACCTACGGTCACCTGATCTTCAACAAGGGTCCAAAGTCTATCAAATGGGGAAAAGACAGTTTTTTTAACAAATGGTGTTGCCAAAACTGGATGTCCATCCGCATAACAATGAAACTGGACCCATACACAAAAACTAATTCAAAATAGATCAAAGACCTAAATATAAAACAAAAACTATAAAGATCATAGAAGAAAAAATGTGATCTAAAGACCCCAATATACAGCATTAACAGTATACAAACCATAACTAACAACATACAAACTTCAGAAGATAAGCCTGATAACTGGGATCATCTAAAAAATTAAACACTTATGCTTATCAAAAGACTACACCAGAAGAGTAAAAAGAGAACCTACAGACTGGGAAAAAATTTTTGGCTATTACAAATCAGACAAAGGTCTAGTCTCTAAAATCTATGAGAAAATCCAGCACCTTTACAACATAAAGACAAATAATCCAATTAAAAAATGGGCAAAGGAAATGAACAGACACTTCACCAAAGAAGACATTCAAGAGGCTAACAGACACATGAGGAAATGCTCACGATCACTAGCCATTAGAGAAATGCAAATCAAAACCACAATGAGATACCACCTCATGTTGGCATTACTGGCACAAATCAAAAAAACAGAAAATATCAAATGTTGGAGATGCTGCAGGGAGATGGAAACTCGTATGCACTGTTGGTGGGATTGCAAAATGGTGCGACCATTTTGGAAAACGATATTGTGCTTCCTTAGAAAGTCAGAAATAGAAATACCATATGATCCAGCAATCCCACTCCTAAGAATATATCCTAGAGAAATAAGAGCGGTCACATAAATAGACTTATGCACACCCATGTTCATGGCATCATTGTTCACAACAGCAACAAGATGGAAACAACATAGATGCCCATCAACAGATGAATGGATAAACAAACTATGGTACAAACACACAACGGAATACTACACAATGATAAAGAACAATGTTGAACCTGTGAAGCGTCTCACATGGTGAATCTGGAGAGCGTTATGCTGAGTGAAATAATGCAATCACAAAAGGACAAATATTGTCCACTACTATAAAAACTCATGAAAAGGTTTACAGACAAAAAGAAACAATCTTTTTTGGTTACATGGGACGGGAGGGATAGGGGTGGAAAAACACTAAATAAACAATAGATAAGTGGTAACTTTGGTGAAGGTAAGACAGTACACAATACTGAGGAAGCCAGCACAGCTTGTTCAGAGTAAGGTCACAGATGCTCCATGGGCAAATCCAAAATCCCTGAGGGAAGGAATTACTGGGCTGAGGGCTATGGGACCATTGTCTCAGGGAACATCTAGCTCAAATGGCATAACACAGTTTATAGAAAAAATGTTCTACATTCTACTTTGGTGAGTAGCGTCTGGGGTCTTAAAAGCCTGTGAGTGGCCATCTAAGATATTCCACTGGTCTCACCCCTTCAGGAGCAAGAGAAAAAGAAGAAAACTAAAGACACAAGGGAAAGATTAGTCCAAAGGACTAACAGACCACAACTACCATGGCCTCCACCAGACTGAGTCCGGTACAACTAGATGGTGCCCAGTTACCACCACTGACTGCTCTGACGGAGATCACAGTAGAGGGTCCCAGACAGAGATGGAGAAAAATGTAGAATAAAATTCTAACTCAAATAAAGACCAGGCTTACTGGCATGACAGACACTGGAGAAACCCAAGTATGGCCCCTGGACACCCTTTTAGCTCAGTAATGAAGTCACTCCCGAGGTTCACCTTTTAGCCAAAGATTAGACAGGCCCATAGGACAAAACGAGACTAAAGGGGCACACCAGCCCAGGGGCAAGGACTACAAGGCAGGAGGGGACAGGAAAGCTGGTAACAGGGAACCCAAGGTCGAGAAGGGAGAGTACGGACATGTCATGGGGTTGTTAACCAACGTCATAAAACAGTATATGTACAAACTATTTAATGAGAAGCTAGTTTGTTCTGTCTACCTTCATCTAAAGTACAATAAAAAAGTAAATAAATAAAAAATATATATATTGTGCCTAATTTTCTATCCATCACTTTGTATTCTTGTTTTTAATGAAGGTCTTCAAAATCCTACAAGTTTCTAGTACCACAAAACCTGGGTTCTTCCCAAACACAAACTGCAGAATCTACTTCAATAATATCCTATTGTGTGCCAATGTAATGTGCAGCATACTTAGGAGATAATTAAAATTATTAATGCAACATTCCAACAGAATAGTTCTGAATTACCAACGAGATCACTGATGGAAAAGAACTCTGATAAGTAATAAGTGTTATATCAATGCAAACTATTATCTTTATTATCTTTTTAAATACAAGCTTCTGGAGCTCTCAACATTTGTTGGTAACTAGTGATCTTCCACTAAGTGCATGGCAGTCCTGGGGCTGTGGGGGATATAAAGATGAAATACACTCAATACTTACCCTCAGGGAGTTCACAGTCTCCAGCATGAGAATACTGCAAGTGGAACACAAAATTAAGATATAAACTCTGTCAGTTATCTTCAAACTTTTTTTTATTACAACCCATATTTTAAAGTGGAGATCATGAACCAGTACACACACACACACACACACACACACACCCCTATACACATACTAAAACAAAGCTTTTACAAAACAATACTTACACTGACTATATGATATGCTCCCTTGAGTACTCTATTGTATTCTATTTTATTTTATAAGATGCTGTACACAACCCTCTAAATCAATTTCATAACCCACTACTGGGTCACCATTTGAAAATACTGTTCTATGTTACTGTTTTGTTTTATGGAGCATGATTATAACCTGAATGAAAATTCCCACTAGCTCTAATAAAATGTGGACCCTATTGGGTGAAAAAAAAAAAATTGAAATCCTTACAGACCCTTTTTGCCAATTATTAATACATTGTATTAGAGCAAAGTCTTTAGCTGTCTCTGTATAAATATATACACACCCGTGCACATGCACACATACTTGCCTTCCCATCCTGTGTCTATATGTTGAATTACATTGCTTTTGCACAGTGACAACTACTGTGAAAGCTCCCTGCAGGGAATCACAGGAGTCTGAGTGAAGGGGTTATTTCAGTGGCTCTTCATCATCAAAGGATTGCGTTGAGCCACACAAGCTTTCTGACAGAACTTGGCAAGCGTTGCATTATAGTCAAGATTGTTTATTCTTTTGGAAAATTTGTCATAATGAGTTTTGGCTCTTTTTTAAAGTATGTTATGTGTGTGCACGTATGTATATATATACAAATATTCTATAGAATATATAGATATAGATGGATATATAGAGATACATTCTTGTCTTTAATGGTTATTCTGTATATGCCATTATAACAGTAAATAGTTACTTAGGAAATACATTGCATTGATGAAATAATGTTGAGATCCTACCCCCTCACCTCAAAATTTATCTCTATTTAAAATGCTGTTTCCAGCACCAACTCTCCATATCTCAGAAAAAGATGATTCATAGAAATCGGTGCAATTCTAGTAAAAATGGAAAATGTTTTAAAATACAAGAATATTAATAAGCTCCTATTGTTCCACTTGATGAGCAAAAGTCCTACTTAATTTAATTTTCTCTTTCAAAGAGAAATGATGCCATTGCCTTTTTCTTTGGATTTTCTCTTGACCTCAGAGTCACCAGCAGATTTGTTCCCTTTGCCCATTTCAAGAATGGGCAAAATCAGGTAGGAATAATTATGCCCCTGATATAACTCGTGGAGTCACGCATGGCGGACTGTGATAAGGTGAACTGCTCTCCCAGCTGTTTTACCATAACCACAATGCCATGCAGTTTACCATAGAGACATTTACTGGGGAGGGGATTGAGGAAGGAAGGGAAGGGAAGGGAGGAGTAAGAAAGTGAAGAAAATCCAGAATTACATATACATGACTACCTGTTATCATTTGCGATTGTGTCCAATTTAACCCTGTTTATACTTTGCACACTAACTCTACTTAATCACCAACAACTTTCTTATTCTGCACATTAGTGATCAGTCCAGTTCCTCCATTTTCAAAGCTCCCAAATATTTATTTTTGTATTCATCTCCCTGTAACCCATCTTTTCCATAAGTCCCGATCTTTTATGTCCTGCTCTTTTGAATGTGACTCTTTCTGGTTTTCCAAATCTCCTCAATACTGTTCCCTCTGACTGAAATGTTTTTCCTGAGTTTGCAAACTGGAAGGCTCCTAGCCATCCCTCAAGATCAGCCTCAGATAATTCTCCTGTGAAGCCTTCTCTGACTAACCCAAGCAGAGTTGATCACTCCCTCCTTCAAACCATGACTGTAATGAGTCTTGCATGTATTTTGATCTTTCTCTTCTTCCTCATCTACTAGACTATAAACTCAGTATCTCTTATAGAACATGGTTCTGTGGTATTGAATTGATTAACTTATTGATCGATTATATTGGTTGATGTGTCTTTCCTGGGTTTTTTACTGTTCTTGGGAGCCCTACTTTATTCTGAAGTGCTTTTATCTTTCCTTTCTGAATGTTTCAAAATGTATTTATTAGAAGTGCATTAGTTTGTACTTCTTTTGAAGTTTGTCTTCTTTACCTAAGATCTATGCAAGCATCAAGACTTAGTCTCAAAAAAGAAAAAAAAAAAAAAAACTTAGTCTCACTTGAGGATTGTTATCAGCGTTGGATGACACCATTCCTGGAATATGTCTGCATTAGATTGGTTCCTTCTGGTGGTCAGAGGCAAGGTGTTTTGAAAGCTTTCACCTGCACTATTACTATATTTTTTCTGACTGAAGGACTTTTCTACTAGATCAGATATTTCTAATAAGTTCTGGGTCAGTACCAAAATCAGGATAATAATTTGTTGCAGATTCTCCTGAATTTGAGGATGCTTCACTCTCTAAGCAAGAAGTCATTGTCTGAAGATGATGACTTTTAATTGTCAATGGTCCTGGGTTCCATAATTGGCACTATTTCCTCACAATTAGGGCCAGTTAATAGTAGGATTGCTCATTATCACCGATTCTCTGCAGGTTTGTCAGACCTATCTTTCCTAGAAAGATAGAAAGTATCCTTACACTTATTAATTTTTTTTTTTCCAGGCAGCAACTTGGATCTACTTCTGTGGTGAAACTCAGTTGTAACTTTCTCTTGCCTTGCTTTGAATTCAGACACAACGTTTCCTTATTTTGTATGGATATATACTTTTGAAAATACCGATCAAGTGCTATTCCTAAATAAAAGGAGTTTTTAAAAAGGGATTTTGTTCATTTTTCCTTTAATGCAGTGATATAACTTTTCAGAAAAGAGCTCAGCAAGCTTGAGTCACCTTACTGAAGAAAAATAATTAAAATTGATCCGTCTCACCTGTACCAAGGAGAAAGAAAAAGTGTTAGACAGTGGCATTCAAGGGATCTCAGGCCTCATTTGGGGATTTTTACTTTCATTTTGGTTTGATCCCCTGCTGAGAATTTGCATTTCCACTCCAGATATACTGAATCAGAACCTATGTTTTAACAAGATCCCTACAAAGGGGCTGAATCGGAATGAACTGGTTCGAAGCCCTGCCTATAGCATAGCTTCATCTACTTTTTCTCTAGAAAGTCCAAGCACTAAAGAGATCCAGAGAATCAATCCTTCCAGATAATTTTCACCTGCAGGTAATAGGAGGCTTATCTCCCAACTGGATGACTAACAGTGGGCAGACTACAGGGCAGCCAATGCTAATAGCTGCTCTAATGCATGTTCTGTTGCCTTTGACTGGAGATCCCTCGTTCTTGACCGTGGCTTCCTCTTTAAAACAGCTTTTAGTACCCCCTTCCTAAGCATTCAGACTCTCCTCCCAACCTTCTGTTAATGTCCTTCACATCTGTTCCTAATTATTTCTTGGATCTCAAACTAAAGCTGGAGACACTTTGTTGACCCTGCAGACCATATTCCCACTCCTTTTCTCCAGGCTTCCAAATTACCATCGCCACTGTCGCTGAAAATTACCAGGCTGAATACTAGATAGAATAATATTTCAATAATCTTAACAATGAAGACCTGAGCTGAGGCAGTGGCAGTGAAAATGAAAGCTTCACATTTGAGAGATATTTCAGAGTTACAATCAAAAGAATTTGGTGACCAGTTGGAGGTGATGGAAAAGAAAGGAGTTATTAAGCAGAAATGGAAATCAGACTTCTCTTCTAGTTACTAGTTACTGTAATAACTTGAAAGGAAAGTATGTGAGAGTGTGTGTATGCGTATGTGTGTTATCATAAGGAATCCATCAAACAGCTGAGGTGAACCAAATGAGATTTCCCAACTCATAGCATGTTTGACCTATAAAAATGGCAATTTCATTTGGTTCAACCTAAAAGAAAGAAAGCCAGAGGAGTCACTTTCATTGCTGGCCATCTCACTGGTACATTCATGACTTTCCATTTCCAATATCCCTTCTAGTTTTTTTTGTGTGTGTGCAGAAAAATACTCAGTGGTAAGTAGTATAAGCCTCCTTAGACCTCTAAACTACCAGCAAATCTACAGATGCTTTCTTTTTAATAATAATAATGTTGAATAAGTGCACTTTTACAAAGATTATATGATATTATCCTCACAGTAATATCTCCAGGCAAGATATTATCCTCATTGTACATATGGAAACAGGCTCAAAGAGGTTAAACGGCTTGTCTAATGACAAATGTAAGATAATGACCTCTAAGTATTCTGACTGCTAGTCCACTGTTCTTACCACTATATGTGTTCTGCTTGCCTGTGAAACAGAAAGGAACTTAGATGTGCTTCCCATCATCTGTGTCCAAATCAGCAGAGGAAACAACAAGAGCAACTTTTATTATTTAAATTGTGATCATTGTATATGGGCATAAATGGCTGTAACAGCTTAAAAGTTGCTAAGATTACCATTATTTCCTTTTCTCAAAGTAAGTATATCCACAGATACTCTCTCCCATTAAATACTGTAGAGTTTCTCGGTTGGGAAGAGCACCGGACAGTCACACAGTAGAGAAACTTTTTCTGTTCTTCTGCCCATATTTGCCTTTCCTGGTGTTACCTTCTTTCACCTCATAACTGTGTGCTGTCTGGTGTGTTTGCTTTGTTTCACAGCAGAAGCTTTCAGAAGACTTTGGATTTTGATTTGAAAAATAAATAAGCACCCTCAAAGAAGAATGAATGCATTCTCTTAGGCCTCTTTCATTAACATGAGCTTCACGAAACACAAAGTTCAGCAGAGGGATTCAAGGTTAGAGGCAGAAGACCAAACAAACTTGGTGAAGGCTTAAAAAATCAGAGAGGAAAATGTGGTTTTTTAGTTATACTAGTTACAGAATGAACAGCATATTGTATGTGCTGTGTTAGAGGTATGTTATGAATAACAAAAGCCCTGGAGCATTTACATATTTGTTTTCAGCAATCCTGGCAGTTGGATTTCACCATTCTATGCCTCTTTGCCAGAATCACTAAACACGGGTACATATGGCATCTGAAGTACCATATGCCATAGAAAATGTTAGCTGATGCCTATACTTCTATATTATATTTTTATTTCAGATTTTTGCAGTTTGAACAAAGAATAGTAGAAAAAACAAAATATTGGACAAGCAGTAAACAGTAAAGTGAAAAAATGCTTACAGAGAAAGCAAATAAAGGAATCTACCATGAGTTAACATGGTTATACGGTAATGAATCAGATACAGGAAGTGATTGTTTTGAATGAACACATTTAAGTAGCATTTCATTCTATTATTTTAGAGCTAAAGGCTGCAACATGAATAGTGGAAATTGACATATTTCCTTACCTTGTTCTTTCTCATATTTCTTGCTGAAATCATAGTCTTCAATTGATTGAAGTTCTTTAGTATGTAGCCTTCAGTCAGTGGCTTCTAAAATCTAGGTTAAAGGAGAAATATTCTAATATCAGGAATTACATTGCAATTTTTATTCAGGTTTTTGAGCAAACTTTTCAGTTACATCTAGGTTTTGTTTGTTTTTGTTGTTCTTTGACACAGGAAGACTTTAAAATTAAAATCAACATAATTGAATAGTTTTCTCGAAACAAATTTTAAAAAAAAATGCATTGCCAACATTTTACCAGTAAGAAAAGTGTTGAAATAACTGGATATCTCTGGTATGTAACAGGTAAGTGATAACTTCTTGGGAAAGACAAGGGGAATATAGTAATCCCAGAGGAAAACTGCTCACTCACAATTTTTCAAAGCCTGTTTACTCTTTTAAATAGTCTCAAAAACTGGACATGAATTTCTTAGGCTGAATTTGGATGATGGTCTAGAATAAACAAGTCATCCAAAATTGTGGAAACTGGCAGCATTCTAGGTCACCTGACTTTTAGTAGTTGATTGACTGAAACTTGTTGAGTAAAGAGTAAAAAAAAAGTCTTTGTAAAGTATAAAATTTGTAATAAATTGGCTTAAAATAGTCTAACAACATTAATAGTTTTAAAGCATATCTGTGTAGTGCTTTACAGTTTTAAAAGTCACAGGACTTGCCCAAGTTCACTCTCTTGTCCTTATGTCCTAGCCTACAATTGGAATCACATCCCATTCTAGAAGTAACCCTGCCACAAATTGGAAGCAGGTCAGAAATAAGATACCTTTTTCAGAGGAACCAGATATTGTCCAGTAAGATGCAAAATTGTATGTGACATAGAATCTTCAGCTTTCCCTGAGAGTATGCTCTATTGAGGGCTAGGAAAATGTTTGTGTAACCTCAGGGCTGTGTCTTCCATGTCCCAATCATTCCACAATTAAGAATCTCAGGCTCTCAAATTTATACAAAGAAACCAAATGCATTTCTTCTGTAACATTAGTAACATTCTTCCTTGACCCAACTCTAAATCTAAAAATAAATAACAAAGTAGAGATCCATGTCATCAGTCAAACAGCACTTAGCAGGCAACTAGTATGGGCAGATCATTGCAGAGGATTCAGAAATGTAGAATTAAGTCCCTGCTCTCAAGCAATTTGTAATCTATTTGAGAAGGAAAAACACACGGAAAAACAGCGTTATAATGGGTAAACTGTGCAATTCTAATAATATAAATGCAATAGAATTGTAGAAAACAAAGAGAAGCACTTGGTCTAAAAGAATACCAAATAGCATCAGTACCCTGGGAATGGGTGCGGAGAGGAGATGCGGAGCTTAAACGATTTGGGGAATCTACTGTAAGAATAAACAAAACTACAAATGCAAAAGTTGGTCCAAAAGTAATACTTACTAAAATAAGAAAAATCACAAGTTACAAATTTGTTAAAGCTAACGAATACCACAGATATTACAAAACTTATAAGAATAGCATGTTTTTATTAAGTTGATACATCTCTATAATATTTTCCTACATTTATGGATGCATATTCTTTGCTCATCTCTTTGAATAATGTTTTTGTAAAATATTCTATGGAGAGAATACAAAAATAATTCACTCTAGCACCATTAATCAACATTTATTGATCATTATTAATTGTTTAGAAATGTTATTTCAGCGTCTCAACTTGTTAGTGGCAATGTCATTTAAACTTTTAGAATTGTCATTTTGGAAAAATATCTACCATTCTTTCATATACGAACTGGGGGATTTCAGAACATATCAGGTTTTCTAGGGCAGTGATTGATCTTAAATACTCTGAATTAATTACACCTATTACTTATTAATCAAATTATTACCTGATTTGTTTTCAATGTTTTCATTATAATGATGTATTGTCAGTTTTGTGTTATTTGTGTTAATGTTGGTATTTTGTATGAAATCAAAAGAAATTTAAATATTTTTTCCAGTGTGCTCTTATGATTCACTCACCCTCATTAATTAGATTATCCAATAGTCTATTTCCTCTTCTTTATCCCTTCCTCTTCTGATTCTCTGGAAAAAAAAAATTTAGGGGGAGGTTAAAATTCACTTGTTGAAATCGGAATAATTTTTATTGACTTACTTGCACATTTTTATTGCTTTTGTTTCATATTCCATTTTTTAATTTATGGAATTTAATATAGTGGATTGGTAATACAGAGCTGTTAGAGGGCTGTCAAAACAAAACGGCCACATGAGATAACACAGAGATAACTACAAGGAGCAACTACCAACTCTAAGGCTGGGGAACAAAAGAAAGATGATATTAACAGAAGTTAGACAGTTAGCTTTGGGGCCTCGTGGAGATCAGATTCAGACCTCTGTACTACCTTACAGCTGGAACTCTGGGGTTGGAGGTTGTGAGAGTAGTTCTGGGAATGTTTATAGAAGCTAGAAACTGGAACCAAATGCATATGCGGGGGTGCAGTGCCGTTGATAAGGCAGAGCTGACGAGAACAGGAAGCACACATGAAGCAAAGAGGAAGTAACAAGGCCATTCTCCCTTTAGGACCTTCTATTAGTGGCACTGAACAGGGGTCCAGTTGGTAAAGGAAAAAAAGTGTAGTTTACAGAGTCTTAGTTCAAACATAAAAAAGCAGAGTATGGAAAATGAATTTAAAAATGAGAAACAATAGCTTAATGACCAGCACAATCTATTCCTTTGGCTACTGAGAACCAATACACACCCTTCTACAAATAATTTGAACTCCCATACAACAGTTACAAATTTATACTTGGCCTGACAAAATACAACTAGACTTCATAAAAATAAAGATGATCTCTCCCTGTCATCAAAATTAGAAGACAAAAAGTCATTGTATCCATCTCTGGGTAACTGTCATGGTATCTATCTCTCAGTGATATTAATTATTCCTCTAATTCAGTGATAGTTATTGGATTATTTGGTAATCTAAAGACCAAACTGTAAAGGTAATTACCAACAGCAATCCTTGCATGCAATAAAAATTGGACGGATGAGGGAGAAAAAAAGATATTGGTTAATATATAAATTTAACAAGCAAGGAAGAAAATATCCATAGCTGCTACAGTTCTTATTTTTGTAGTTGATCAAATGAAAAAATATATGTATAAATTATTTTTTAATTGTTATACAAACTGTAGCATACTGAACACATATTTGGGCAACATTTGTCACTTACTATTATCACAAATCTCTTTTCTTTTTTTAATTGCGCTTTAGGTGAAAGTTTACAGCTCAGGTTAAAAAGCTCTTTTCTTACTGATGTATGAATGTTTTCTGTTTGTTTATAGTTCTATAATTTTTAACACACGTATAGCTATGTGTAACCATCAATACAGTCAGGATACAGAACAGTTCCATAACCTCCAAAGATCCTTTCGTTTTATGCCTTTGTAACTATAACTTCCAACCAACCAAAAGACCAAGTCCATTGTCACTGAGTTGATTCCAACTCATAGCGACCCTATAGGACAAAGTAGAACTGCCCCATAGGATTTCCAAGGAGCTGCTGGTGGATTTGAACTGCTGACCTTTTGTTTAGCGGCCAAGCTCTTAACCACTGCACCACCAGGGCTTCTCATAATTTCCACCCACTCCTAATTCCTGGTAATCACTGATGAGTTCTCCGTCGCTACAGTTCTCTGTCTTTTTGAGAATGTCATGTAACTGAAAATATATAGTATGTAACATTTTGAGATTAGCTTTTTTCACTCAGTTTAATACCTTTGAGATTCATCCCAGTTTTTCCATATAGCAATAGTTCATTCATTTTTCTTGCTGAGTAGTGTTCCATTGCATGAATGTACCATTTGGATTTGCGTGTCTTGTTTTTTTTCAGTTTGGGGTTTCTGTAAATATTGGTAAATAAGTTTTTGCATAAACATTATTTTATTTCTTTTGGGCAAATACCCTCAAATGGAATTGCTGGGTCATATGATAAGTGTAGGTCTAATTTTATTTTAAAAAATTGGCATCACAAGAAATTTTACTTTTAACCTACCTATACGATTATACTTGAAATGACTTTTCGTAAACAGCATAAGTTTGGTTCATTTTTTTTTTATCCATTCTGACAATCTCTGCCTTTTAATTTGTGTGCTTAAACTATCCACATTTCATGTAATTACTGATATGTCTTAAGCCTACAATTTTATTATTTGTTTTCTGTTCATTTTATCTGATTTTTGTTCCTGTTTTCCCTTTCTTGCCTTCTTTTGGGTTATTTAAACATTTTTAGTATTCATTTTAATTTATCCATTGTGATTTTTCTATGTCTCTTTGTATTTTTTTTTTTTTAGCAGTTACTCTAGGGATTATATGATACCTAATTAACTTTTCACAGTATACCTAACATGAGTATTTTACCATTTTAAGTGGAATTTAGAAACATTACCACCATATATGTGTTCCTTTACTCTCACATTGAAAACCCCATCAGAAAATGTTAAAGTTTTTGCCCACGATCATCAAACATATTTTAAAGAACTTAAGAGAAGACTAGTCAGTTACATTTATCCATATAGTTATTATTTTTATTCCTCTTTTACATTCATTCCTGATACAGTATCACAAATTTTCTTCTGGTATTATTTCTTTTCTGTTAGAAGACCTTCCTCTAGCAATTCTTTTAGAGTGTATGCTGGCAAGATAGCTCTTAGTTTCCTTCATAGAAGAATTCTTTGTTTTCTTTTTATTCCTGGAGGACATTTTCACTAGACATAGAATTCTGATTGACAGTTATTCTCTTTCAGCACTTCAAAATTATTGTGCCATTTCTCCCGGCCCCCGTTGTTTCTGATAAGAAATTCACAGTTATTTAAATCATTCCTGATGCATCATTTTTCTCTAGCTACTTGGAAGATTTTTTTGTCTTTAGTTTTCAGTAGTTTAATTATAATGTGTTTCAGTAGGGTTATCCTTTTTGCAGTTTGCTGAGTTTTTTTTTTAACTTTTTAAAAATTAAGGTATATTTTACATACAGTGAAATGCACAAATCGGAAGTGTGGTTGATGAGTTTTGACAAATGTGTACACCAATGTGACCACCACCATAAGCAAGAAAGAATATTTCCAGAAAGCTCCCTCATAACCCTTCCCAATCAACCCCATCTTCCAGAGGACCGCTGTTCTGGTTTCTAACCCTCTAGATGAGTTTTTGCCTGTTCTTAAACATCGTATAAATGGAATCAAACAGAATGTACTCCTTGGTGTCTGCTTTTTTTTTTTTTTTTTTGCTCAGCACAGTGTTATCGAGCTTCATCCATACTGTTGGTGGATTAGTAGTTTTTTGTTATTGCTGAATTGTACTCCATATAGTATGAATATACCAAACTTTATTCATTTATATGAGTAGTTATGGTTTTGAACCACTAAGAATAAAGTTGCTATAACACTCTTACACAGTCTTTTTGAGGACATATGTCTTTATTTCTCTTGAGTAAATACCTCAGAGTAGAATCGCTGAGTCATAGAGTAGATGTATTTTTAACTTTATGTGAAACTGCCAAAGAGTTTTGGTAAGTGGTCGTACTGTTTTACACTCCCCCCAGCAATGTATGATGAGTGTTCTGGTTGCTCCAAATTCTTGTGAACAAGTTTTGGTCAGTCTTTTTTGTACTTGAGCCTTTCTAGTGTGTGTTGGTATATCACTTTGTAGCTTTAATTTACATAAGTTAAATTGTGATTAATTTGCGTTAATTACAGATAATTGATGTTGAGCACTTTCTCATGCACTTACTTGCCATTTGTATAGATTCTTTTGTGAAGTGTCTATTCAACTATATGTCCAGTTTTTATTGGATTGTTTATCATTTTATTATTTATAGAAATTCATTATAGATTCTAAATACAAGTACATTGTATGTGTGCATATATATATACGTATGTATACATATGTGTATGTGTGTGAGTGTAAATTTTGTTGATTTCTTTAATAATGTTTCGATGAACAAAAGTTTTAAAATTTGAAAAAGTTCAATTTATCAGTTTTTTTTGTTTTTGTTTTTTAGTTTTTGATTAGAGCTTTTTGTGTCCCAAGAAATTTTTGTCTACTTCAAAGTCACAAATATATTCCTGTATGTTTTCTTCTAGAAGTTTTATACTTTTATAGTTCTAGCTTTTAAGTTTAGGTCTATAATCCGTTTTGAATTTTTTTTTTTTCTTTTTGCATAGTGTGAGGTCATGGTTAAACCTCAAATTTTCTCATATGGATATCCTGTTGTTCTAGTACTATTTGTTAAAAAGGCTTTTCTTTCTCCATTGAACTGGCTTGTACCTCTGTCAAAACTCAATTGATGATACATGTGTATGGAGCTATTCTGGACTCTATTTCTTTTATGACCATTGGGATATACGGTTGCCTACCAAGATTTTCTGCCTCTCAGGTTCATTGGGAAGCATATTTCCCACTGACAGGGCAGGTTACCACAAGGCAAGGGTCTTTATGACTGTTTGAAACCAAAAATCTGGGTGTGTACTGCTAATTACTGTTTCTCAAGGGTGTTGTATGAGGCATGTGCATTTTTTGGTATGAAAACTTTTTTTGAAAATATTTTTGGGACACATATGTCCAAGTGAACTCAGGGTAGGGGAGGACCCTGGGGGTAGAATTAGTGGGACAAGGTATGTGTCTCTGGACTCTAAGGGTAAGCTTGTGGGAGGGGGCAAGAAAAAAATCCATACTACCTACCAAAAATTCAACAACATTCAATGATTCAGCATGCCTCCATTAAGGAAAGCACATGGTATCAACAAAAATTCAAAGCAGAAAATAACTGGGTCTTGAAAGGACTATGATATACTGTCGATCCATTTGTCTACCTTATGCCAATTCCGATCTTTCTTTTTTTCTAATTATTATTTTTTTAATAATTTATTTTATTCTCTATCGTTGTTGTTGAGAATATACACAGCATAGGAGGAGAAAATGCAATGTGTGGCTAATTGCCTCCTTTGCCATGAGACCAGAAGATTGCTGAGCTTCTTGAATTTGTAGGTTTAAATATTTCAGAATACTTGAAAAGTTTTCAGTCATTGATTCTTCAAATATTTTTTTCAGCACGGCACTTTTTTTCTCTCCTTCTGGAACTCCAATGACATGAATGTTAGGTTTTTTTTTCATTGCCTCACAAATTCTTGAGGTTGTGTTCATTTTTTAAAATCTTGTTCTCTTTGCTTTTTAGATTGAATAATTTCTATTGATTTCCCTTCAACTTCACTGTCTTTTCCCTCTTCCATCTCTATTCTCCTATTGAGTCCATTCAGTTAGTTATCGATGTCAACTACTACGTTTTTCAGTTCTAGAATATGCATTAGGTTCTTCTTTATATCATCTACCTATTCTCTGAAACTTTCTATTTTTCCATTTCTTTCAAGAATATCTGTAATTGCTTGCTGGAACATTTTCATAATAGCTGCTTTTATGTCCTTGTCTGATAATTCCAACATCTGTGTCATTTTAGGATTGGTGTTTTCTGAGTGTCTTTTCCATTGAGTTAAGATTTTTTATATGTTGAGAAGTTTAGGATTATATCCTGGTCATTTTGAATACAGGCATATCTTATTTTATTGCACTTCACTT